GATGATGTGATGTCCCTTGGCACCAAAAGTTTGCTTTTCCCATCGGCCTCCCGTCAACAAGTGAGCCTGCACTCCTGACGCGTTTGCTAATTCGGAGATGATTGACGAAGTTTTATCTCGCTCGGGTGTGGGAATGAAAAGTTTACGATAATGGCGTCGGTGATGATTATGGTCAAACCATTTGTCATTTGTTACCTGATAAGTCTGCCACAGGTCTTGAAGATGCATGACCTCCTCAAGGTTTGACGTGTGCACCATGTTGCCTGGCAGTTCCCTACCTTCTCGCAGTGCTCCAACAAGTTGGTTCACCGTACACATTTTAGGGGTTATGGACCAGTCAGATTCACGCACCGAAGTAACCCCAGGTCTTTCGTGAATGATGGGAGAATGCTTCCATGAAGAAGATTTAGGGAAACGGTGCCAATAGCAAGAGTATTTGCCAGTCCCCCAGTCGTCATATTCGTCCCAAGAATCCCAGTCCCCAAAACCTTTCTGATCACCAGTTCGGGTGAACTGACCTTGGAAAGAGTTTGGGGGGGAAAAGTTCTTTTCAGAAGTCTGAGTATGTTCAGGGGCGTGTCCATCAAGTTCTCGCATCACCCTTTGAACAACTTGTTTTGTCGGAGTAGTTTTGATTCAAACATTCCTTCAGGATGGCAATGAGTCTTCTAGCCAGCTGGTGGTCTTTGTCAACATGCCTTTGTGGCACCACCTTGTTGCCAGAGGTTCTCTGACCACTTGGTTCTTGTTCCTTAGTCCAGTTTGCCAGGAACTGGGAGAGAGCTGAAGCTAGGCCATCCTGTGAGGCATCAGTGGTCCGTGTTTGTCGCCTGCCTTTGCTACCACCTGATAGCAGAGGCGCAACTGTTCCAAGCCATTCCTGGTACTGTTGTCTTTGAGGATCTTTCCGGCGAACGAGCCATCGCACCCACTGCGGCCCAGCGTGCCGAAACTTAATTCTCATGAAGTGTCTGCCTCGAACAGATCTATACCTTCGCAACCTACAAAATCGAGCTGAGGCAGCAATCGTAACAACGGGCGAAGGCTGAGGCCGTGCCTGAATGAAATTCCTGCGTTTGCGCCACGTCAATGTCCACCGGAGCGGGTGGGACGCCGAAAGGCGTCGTTTCATTTTTCCAAGGTGAAGGGTCTTAGAAAGATAGGCTTTCCGTTTTCGCCACGTCAAACCTTTTGGGAAACACTTTTCTTCCAGGTCTCTAAAGGTCCTGAGGTCCTCAGTCATCTTTGAGCCAGGTGTGATATCAGGATCACTCCAATAACTCCCAGAAAAACAAGCCAGATTATGTTTATGCAAGGACCGCGTTCAAACGTCACATGTGGATATTGCCACAACATGTTTGTCCGAAGCAAGTGACCCTTGTTGCATCTCAAGACACAAGCCGTCGGCGCCGCCACCGTTGTACCCCAAGCAACCGCTGCAGCCGGAAGGCCATCAAATTCATCTGTTAACACAGCCGCCAGCCATGGCCGCTGCTCGAAGGAACATGCATGAATTGGGAGCCCATCGTAGGGGCTAGGTAAAGAGGAGTGGTTCAACTCGAACGTTCCGTCAGCGGAAACCGCAGCATGAGCACCAGGCGAGGCAAAACAAAGCATCAGCCAGAACACCAGCAACAGCCAGCGAGCAGAAAGCGGCGAGAAGCCGCCCCTGAGATGCCCCGAAGCACTCCAATTATTCTTCTGTTGTGGCTCCTTCAAGCCATCTTCTTTTTCTTTTTTTTGACTTCCTTGTCTTTGTTGTCTCTCTTTTGGGGTCTTATTGAATTCTTTTTGTTTCTTTTTTGAGTTTTACCTTGCACTTCTAATTTGCACCAATCGGTGTTACCACACCAACTGGCCCACCAGCACCGCGTGGAGGTGAAGCGCCGCTGCCAGCCTAACGCCTAGCTGAGCCTTAGCTGCTGCAGCCAGCAAACCCTAAACCCAAGCCGTGAACCCTAAACGCCACGCAGCCCAGTCACCAAGCGACAGCGAGCTTGTGCGCCCAGGCTGGGAGATGCCTAGCTGTCAGCTGTTGAGCCAAGGTTCGCGCCGCAGCTCGCGCTGAAGCTCGGGTCGAAGCTCGCGTCGCGCCAGTTGAGCTTTGAGTTGAGCTTCGGGCTGAGCTTTGAGCTTTGAGGTGAGCTTTGGGCTGAGCTTTGAGCTTTGAGTTGAGCTTTGGGTTGAGCTTTGAGCTTTGGGTTGAGCTTCGGGTTGAGCTTTGAGCTTTGGGTTGAGCTTTGGGTGGGGCTTTGAGCTTTGAGTTGAGCTGTCAGTTGATTTTCCTTCTAAAAGTTCACCAAAAGCTCGTCCCAAAGCTCGCGCCAAAGCTCGCCGCGCGCCAGTTGAGCTTTGAGTCGAGCTTTGCGTCGAGCGTTGAGCTTTGGGCTTTGGGTCGAGCTTCGAGTCGAGCATGAGCTTTGGGTCGAGCTTCGAATCGAGCGAAAGCTTAACAGTCCAAGCAAAAGTCCAATGAAAGCTCACAACTGTTCCAGAAAAAATGAAAGCTTAGTCCAAGCAAAAGTCCAATGAATGCTCCATAGTCCAATCAAAGTCTCAATCGAATCTTTTGGGGCTTTTGCTTGGACATCTGAGCTTCCATTGGACTTTGGCTTGGACTGTTCAGCTTTGATTGGACTTTTGCATGGACTTTTTTTTGACCAAGCTTTGGCTGGACTTTCGATTTAGAGTTGAGCTTTGGTTGGGCTTGTTGTTTGACTTCGGACACTTTTAGTTTTTTGAATAAATGAGCTTCGATTTATTGGCTTATCTATGGTTTTTTTGATGGGACTGAATCTGTGCAGCGAAGACTGTAAGCACGCGCTCTCCTCCTGTGAGCGTGCGCCCCGGACCCATCGAGAGTGAGTGCAACATTTCCACTGCGTCTGATTCGACAAAGCGTCGTGAAGATAACCACTCCCCGATACGTTATACTGCTACGTCTGATATTCGGCGCAAGCTCTTTCAAAGTCTTGGTTTGCAGGTAGCATGTTATGCACCTTGTCTATGCCAACGTTTCAATGTCACCTTTGCAGTGGCCAAACCCCGTGCCACCACATTAGTGCAAACGGGGCACAACCTTCACCGAACTTTGCCGCCACGTTCACCAAAGCAGAGAAGAGCAATGAATACACTTCTGTGTTCTCCTTGCGCGGTGGCCAGCACCAACTCATTGAACTGGGTCGTCAAACCTTCCTCCGGCTCGCCAGGACGCGCTTGCCTCCCAAATGTTTTCGACACAAGCCCTCCCGACACAGCCACATAGTCTCCTTGAACCATTCTGTACGTTCCATCGGCGCGCACTTTAAGCCATTGCCAACTCGCCACTCTTTTCGTGCACCAGCTTCGGACGCGCAAATACCAGGCACAATTGCTCATCTATTCTGTGATACACCAACACCAGCTCGTCAGCGACAGATGCTTCATCCACCAAGCACTGGAAGTCCGCCATCACCCACTCATCACGGTTTGCCACGCGGACTTCCTTCCGATGCCGGGCCCTCCAATTGTCAATCTACGTCTTCAACGTCGCCTCAAGCCTGTCTGTGACCTCAAGGTCAGGAAACTTTTCTCGCAACATCTCAACCAGCTGCTGCGTGCGATAAGAGGCATTCTTTCCCAAGTACTCATGGATGAAAATCTTGTGACCTGCCAAGGGTGAGTCCTTCCGCCCTCCGTACACACGATCGTGTGCTTGTCGGCGTCGGGCGTTCAGTTGCAACACCTGATGTCACGCAACTCACACTTCCGTCCGACGCTCTTTCTCTCAGACTTTTCACTCAGATTTTCTCGTTTCTCTCTTCCCTACATTTCCCGCTAGAAGTCTGGACAAGAAACATCTTACCTCTGCTAGTATAACCTCTACAGATGTGTGATACATTGCATCCAAAGAACCTCAGATGTGACCTCGTACGTACCAACACCTCGGAAGTTGCAGTTCAAGCACGACGCGCACTGGAAGATGTACCGGAAATGATCTCCACGGCTGTCACGCTTCGATAATCGAACCTCTGCTGACCGATCACCTGAGAAGCCCACTTGCGGATCTCCTCCTTCACACCATCTCGATCCAGCGAACGCAAGCCCACTTGCGGATCTCCTCCTTCACACCATCTCGATCCAGCGAACGCAAGCGCAAGTTCGCTCTACACTTCCATGATGTTGCCGCAGCGGGCTTTGTCACAAGCTTCTTCGAACATGGGCGCTTCATAAAGCGACTTGAAGAAAAGGCTGGAAGATGTACGGAAAAGAATCTTTCATGAACGCCTGAAAACCTGAAGACGTTTGAATGAAGACCCCTGAACCCTGAAGCTGCTTTTTATATAGCGGTGGAAAAAAACAAGACGGGCAAACTGGCGCAAGATGTTTCTGCGTGGGTGTGTTGTTTCTGTAGCGTAAGTGTGACACATGTGTGGGTACAACTGTGTAGCCTAAACTAGCTGTTTGTTGGTTGGTTCTAGCTGAGGCACGTGATGCTTTTGAAAGAAGCTGCACTGGCAAGGCGGCCGGCGTAAACTCCTAAACACGAACGACTGCATGCACCGTCCCCTCTGCGCATGGTAGGCTATATGTTTATATATTGTATATGTATATATCCGTCTTAAAAACAAAACCACACCACACTGATCTCATGCAAACGACAGGGTGTGGACGATTTCGTGTGTTGCCCATGAAACATTACCTTAATTGCAATTGTTTGCTAACGACAGGGTGCGGACGACGTCGTGTGAGAGTTCCCAAGGCGTTGTCGTTTGCTTTTCATGGTTTAATAAGCATGTGTACACCCTCTGAAGTGCACAAGCGACACAAATGTCAAGTGCACAAGCGACACAAATGGCAAGTGCACAAGCGACACAAATGGCAAGTGCACAAGCGACACAAATGGCAAGTGCACAAGCGACACAAATGGCAAGTGCACAAGCGATTGCTCGCCCCCCGGGACACCCTGTGCAAACCTTCACCGATCTTACCGCCTTCGACCGAAACTCTCGGGGCCCAGCTCGAGCAAGGCTTCCTCATAGCGACCCTGCTGGTGCAAGACCTCGTCTTCCCCACACGGGCGGGCGGAAGAAATGGGCCGAAAAGTTTCTGAAAGCCAAGAGGTATCGTATACCAGCACCCGACATGCTGACATATGGCCTGTACCCTCAAAACCCTGTTCTCTGCTTGGCTCCAGTGCGGATCCTGGGGCAGTAGAACTCCTATGCAACAAGAGTCACCGCGCGCACTGCATGCACCGCACTTACCCGACGCATCCGTGCTCCCGCCGAGTACTTGTCCGTCGGAATGCATGTGGAATCCATGTCCAGTCGTGGGGGTTTGATGGGTTTGGGGATGCCAAAGGCAGAGTTTTGATGCTGGGACCGGTCCCAAGGCGGGACATCAGCAGCTGTGCCGGGCCGTGCCAGCCGTGCTGTGGTATCATCAAACTTCCTGGGCATCCTCAATCTTAGGTGCTGCAAAGGATCCAGAAAACCTCGCCGGCCCTACCCTATTGGTTGTTTGGATAAACACCGCTTAAATCATCTTAAATCAATGGCGGGCCCGGGAATCCTCGGATATCTCCAACCCTTCTTTCCTGACTATATACCTGTTTCCCTGGAAAATAATGAACTTTCCACCTCTTCTTCTTGAGTGGAAAAGAAAAAAACACCCCACTACTCCTTTGATGGACCTGCAGGGTGATCCACTTATCACACCCATTCTTCCGCTCCCGCTCCGCCTCCCTACAAGGGAAAATCGGCTCGGGAGCCCCCAGCCGTGCCCAGTTGGTGCCGCGTCTTCACCGACGTCGGCCATGACAGGGCGTCCGCCACATAGAGCGCCTCCGTGACCAGGGCGCGTGACCAGGGCGAGACCCGGGTGAGCCACCGGCGTTGCTTGGAGATCCTGATCCTACATGAGGTCAAGGTGGAAACCCCTGCAATGGACTCAAAAAAAAAACAAACAAAAAAGAAAACTAAAAAAAAAGTTAATTAAAGAAAACCTCACCCAAACATCCCAACGAAGCTCAAGTCCGGTTTCAACCGAAACCTCACAATTCACTTTCGCACCCCCAAAAAAAGAACCCGGCCACGTTTCGGCACCCTCACCCCACCGTTTGGCTCGTGGCCGGACCGAGGCGACCGCCTCGGAGGAGCGCCACTGCCACACGCGCTCGCCGCAGCGCCACAGATACACTCCCCTCGGGGCGCTGTCCACCGTGACGTCCGTCGAGCGACGTCCGAAGGTCGAAGGGCCGAACCGAAGGAGACCAGGGCGCTACCAGGACCCGACAGAAACAGGTCACCGGTCACCGCGACAATAAAAGTCTACAAGGTCGCCTCCAGAACTCGGAGACCGAACTTGGTTTCGGTGCTGGTATAGATCTTCCAAAGGTACCTCCAAAAACGCTCATGGACCCTAATTATTGTGGAGGGGTCTGTTTGGGTTTCTTATACCAAACCCCCCAGGTGTTCAGGGACGGACCGGGCTTTGTTTCCCGAGGGCGGAAGCTCCGGGTCGAGGGCTTGGTGGTGTTCACGGTGGAGGGTCAGAGGTGCCAGATGGTTCGAGGAGGATTCTCCACCCCAAGTGGTTGTTGGAAAAAGTTTCGAGGTTCGTATTTTCAGACACGACCTGTCTGGGACTGGCATATTGGCCCAGAAACGGCCAGAGGTGGTTGAAAAGAGGTCAAAGTATAGGTATACATATAATCATATTCCAGTCCGATGGAGTGTCTGAGCTTTTTTGAGAGGCTCACCACTGGTGATCAGAGGAACGTGGAACCGGGGTGGTCTATCCTGGCCTTCCAGAATCCTCACCGGTGTCCCCTTCGTCCGGTCGGTTCTGAGCGGCAACAAGGCCACCGCCAGGCGTCTCGGCCTCGGTCGCGGCGGACGGCGTCACCAGAGGGTCACTGGACTGGTGAGACCTGTGGTCTTGCTTTTGAGGGTGCGATCTTTTCGAGATAAACTATGGTAGGACAAGTTGGCAGGTATGCAGGTTGGACGATCCCGGAACCCATTTGACCTGTGTTTTGATAGAAAAAGACCGGTTGGTGGCGGTCCAAAATAAAGGTCACTCAGGTTCTAGGATTGCATCTGGATCCATGCAAACTCACCCCTTTTGAGCCTTTGACAATTGAAATGTTGACTCGGGTAGACACCACATGCATGAACGACATCAATTGGATTCAATTGGAGTGCATCAACGAGGGCTATGACCCGCATGATCCCAAGTCAAAGCCAGAAAGAGGATTCAAGAGGTCATCCGCACATGAACTTCTGAGGGCTCTTGGAACGGTTCTTAGCGCCGAAGCCTTGTGGAGAATGAGTGGCACAAACTCTTTGACTTCTTCTGCTTCCTTGGTCCGTTCATGAGCAGCAAGCCAGGCTGCAAGCATTGGGTCGACCAGGCTAGTCGCCTGGTTCTTTCCAGCTCCAGAAATCCATATCGGCGTACTTTGCGACTCGGAGAAGCCGCAACAGAAGGCTCACATGGTGGGGCGCGTTCTTTTTCTCCGAGAGGGTCTCACATGTTTCCGGAACACATGGTTCGGATGAAACCGGCAGAACTTCACCTGTGGGATCACCCTCCCTAGACGGCGACCCCGAGACGGGATCCCTTGTGCCCCCGCCAGGCGCGTCCGTGCCGCTTCTCGAAGCTCTGTCCCAAGGCCTTGGTACGAGCTGCGAAGACGAGTGGCTGTGGAACCCGGGTCGCCGAAACCGACTTCCAGACCTGGTGGGATGGTCCTGCGTGATGGTGGTTTGGGGTTCCGATGTCGGTTTCTTCTCGGAACTGAGAACCTCTCGCAGAGACAGCCCGACCATCCATCTCCCCAGAAGTCCAGTTCGACTATTTCGGGCATCACCCAAAGTAAATGAAATTCATTCTTCGGATCACCTATTATAAAGATAATGTTTAAAAAGTATATATATATATATGGAAACCCGTATGATCACTTTTTTTGATCACTATGGCCTCAAGCCGTATTGACCGCCTTTTTTGTGCATATGCCGTATTTGGGCACGGACATCTCTCTGGGGGACTCCATGTTATATGAATGGGAACTGTATACGAATATGGCCGTATACTGGCCATATTTGCATGCATATTTGGGGGTACCCGTATGATACTAGCATTTGTTCAATATGTTATTGAAAAAACACCGTAACCATATTCCAACATACTAGTGCGAATACTGCGTTGGAACACCCGAATATGGTACCCTATTGAGCCAAGAGAGGAAGCCGTATATGCCCGTATTTGGGCAAAACCCGTAATGAACAAAAAAATGGTCAAAAGGCCGTATGACCAAAAGAATTGAACATACTGTTCCTCGATATATAAATTGTATAAACATGGTCAGCTGGACTCCCATGGTCTCCACGATGGGCACCCACACTGCAAGCACAAGGGCTGCACCCACAGTGCACGGATACAACCTCGGCAGGCGGCTGACTCAGAAAGGCTCTGATTTGGATGTCTCTCAAAGAATATTGTCCTTTTGTGCGTCCTTTGGTGCATTAAACCAGCAAGGGAGAATTGCAGTAAGATAGTACACAAATGAGTGCTCATTACTCTTTCTACCAAATGCTCACCCTCATTTTGAGACACCAGTTTGGAAGCAAAATGATCATTGAGGGGGCTCTCACAAACACCCCTCCACAAAAGAAGGTTACCAAACTTCTGCTCAACAGAATGGAACGCCTGCCTTTTCAATCTTGCAGCGATGGAGACCTGGTTGGACGAAAAAAGACTCGAAGAAACCACGCCACGCCTAAGTCAACACCCGGAGCGGAACGGAACCCGAAGAAACGGAGGTCCAATTTCTTCGATGCCTGGCGTCGAGACGAGAAAAGACTGCCCTAGGCCTCCAGTCGTACCTTCGTTTCGAAGGTGGGACTGGGGTGGGTGCCAGGAGGGTCTAAACACCGAACCTGAGGAGGTACGACGACTGGAGGTGTAGGGCTTAGTTTTGAAGTCTACGTGATGTGAGACTTCCAGGTCACCCAGGTCAACCCATTTGAAGGACTAAGATGATATCTTCGTTTGTTGGTCTTATACCATTAAATGGTGTTTAAAGGGACTAAATCCCAAACCAAACCACCCATGTTCCACAGTCTCGTGGCCTCCTTGGACTAGATCATAGACACCACCAGTGGCCCCCTGGAAGAGTGTTCTCCTGGCACCAACCAGTGGTTTTCAGGGTCGGAATCGTCTTCTAGGGTGAAAACTTAGGGTGAAAACAGGCTCAAAACCACTGGGACCACTGGTTAAACCATCTGGTTGTGGTTTAAAAAAAGAAAACGACTCGTCGTTCACTCCATCTATCCATCTCCTCGTTCACATGGCTCCGTCCCGATCGGGTCGCCGCACAAGCGTTCACCGATGGTCACGCCCACCTGGTCGGAAGACTGGAGACCTTGTGGCCCAGGTGGAGACCACGAAGTAGCCAAAAACCACCCGGAAATCAGAGAGACATGTTGTTTGGGATGAAGAGTCAGTATTGTTGTGGATTATTACAAAGTGCCATTCCTATTTTTGAAATGTATATACTACCCAAACGCTCCAATCAGCCCGACCGGTCCCTCAAAACCGGGATTGGTCCCCTGACCAGTTCGGATTCGGGTCCGGCCTCTCCTTAGGAGGGTCCAGACTTCACATCTGGGTGTATAAGACTATGCCATGTCTGAAAAGAAATAGACTACGTATGCCATTTCTCTGCTGTCTTCTTCTTTGGGGTGTATCATCGGTGTATAAGACATTATAAGACTACGTATGCCATTTCTGAAAAGAGTTCTGTCTATCTTGACTCCAAGAATGTGTCACCTCCGTCGAGGAGGAAACCCCTGGTTGAGGAAGCCTATAGACCTTGCTTCCAGGCCGGACCGGCTGCCCAAAGATCGATCATATACTTTGGATGTGTACCATGGGTATCCATGGATAGCCATGGATGATATGTCCGTGAAGGCACATTTTCTTGGAAACACAAACACATGTGTTGAGGAACTCGTCGCTACAACAGGTGTCACGCATCCGTTCCATTTCGAGCAATGAGGCTTTGGCTCCACACGCGGCTTCTTCCGACACGGGTGACACGTTCTACCCCCCCCCCCCCAGGTGGGCTTTCACTCCGCTCCATAGGCGATCGAAAAGGTTCCATGCCTTGAAGAAGAGGTTGGATGCTGGCACAAAGGGGATCACCACGACCTGCAAACCCAACCTCAGTCGAACCCAACCTGCCGCGCTCCGAACCACCCACGAAGGAGTTCCTCCAATGCGAAAGCCTTCGAGAGGCGAATCGTTCGACGCCCGTCTTCCTCGTCGACTCGTGAAAGGGGTTCGTTCGATTCGTTCGACAGAAGATGTTGAAATGTTCTCAGGAAGAAGTCGACGACGTGGTCGGCAATTCAGTCCGTTTGCAAATAGTTCTGTAAATGGCAAATAGTTGGATGCAACACACTTCTTGGCATACAGGAAACTTCTTAGCCCTGAGGAGCGGGCAGCATTCGTCGAGAGTTGGCAAGGCCCTTACTAATGAGGGCAAACAAGGACAAATAGGCCTCGGATAAGAACATGGCGACAAGAATGAGCAGGATGAACTAGTATCCTCATGTGGGTAGAACATCAATGAATCACTCCAAAACGCTCATTGAAACGTTCTCCACTTCTTGTCTCTTTCATTCAAAACCACCTTCCCTTGCGCGTGTGGCAACCACTCCTGTTCCGTGGGCCGTTCGGTGTTCCCAGTTCGGGTGCTCCGCGCCGTGCAGACCGAGAGCACCCGGAGGTCGCGCCAGGTGGCGCGCAGCACCGGAAGGGCATCGAAGGAGTAGTCCTTTCGCCGTTTCGACCCACCGGGCGGCAACGGTCCGCAGACCAACCGGTTCGGTTCGGGCCGGGAAGGTCCAGCAAAATACGTAACCCATTGGCATCCCGGATGGCCTTCCGTTCCATATGGATCCATATGGATAATGACGTGGTTTTGGAGTGTAAGAGATCCGAACCGGTGGGTTTCGGGATTCGGCCGCAATGCATGGTGCTTCGGTGCGCCGGGACTGGAATCTGGGCCGCCCCATTGACCACGAAAGAAAACCACCCCAAGTGATCGATTACCGTAAGACCTTCCAAGGCCATTTTTAAAAATGGTTGACCTGGGTTTGGTCCTAAATGTCTGAGTAACAAAAAATTACCGGTTCCTTGAAGTGTCTTGGTGTTCTTTGGTATATAATGAGTAATGACCATCAAAACAATGCTTAGTTGAAATGGAATTTAAAAAGAGGTTCAAGCGCGGCGGGAAGAGAGATTCGGTGCACGTCTTTGCGTTCGCCGAAGGATGGTTCCTTGGTGGTGAACCCGAGCTTCGTTGGCTGAGCGATCAGAGAGGTCCGTTCGCCTGCCAAGACGATGTCATGAAGGACCTAAACTTTGTCGTGTCCAATCCAAGAACAAATATAAGTCGTTTTGGTAAAGACCCTTGACCAAATCACCAAAGGGGGGCTTAATCCTGCTGCCACATGTTTCCTTAGTTCCACCCACCAAAACTGGCACGGCCAGATTCCCGTCCCAGGAGAGGTCGCCGGGGAAGATCAGGAGCTTTCCATAGTACGAGTGCTGAAAGAGGTAGCCTGCCGACACGTCCGACCACATCCGCCGGCCGCGGCGCGCGGCGCATACAAAGCTCGGCACAGAAAGACGAGACGAAAAGAGATGTCTGTCTTTGAGAAGAGGACTCAATCCACAGATCTTGGACCACGGAAGCATCAAACACGCCAGGCCGGCTCCAAGAACGTACCCAAAAGCTCTCATGGTACTGGACCTTGATGGCGAAGTCAAATCCACGTCACCATGTGTTGAGGACTCCGAACCGGTGCCCTCCGGTTTAAACCCCAAAAGCAGGTTCGATTCGGGTTTGATCACCCAAGGTAGGTGGCCACTGACAGCCGTAGCCAAAAAAAACAAGTTTCCCCAGTCCCGGCCACTTCCTACGAGCAAGCCACATTGGAACAACCAGGTGTTTCTGGTTGGGACTAGGTTTCCAGGTGTGTATATATATATATATACACACCCAGAGCCCAGACATGGCCTCCGTTCTGATAGGAAGTTGGACCCTATTTGGGGTAGTGTGATCCAAAATGGAGGTCACAAAAAGCCTCTATGGGCTTTATAGGTATATTTTTATGTGGGTGGGTTAAGTAAACCTCCACAAGACCCCCTGGAAGAAGGAAATTAGACTCTACCCATTGGTTGGAAGTCTACCCAAGATAAACTACACACCCAACAGCAGGTCCCAAAAACGACAGCTGCAGGCATCGGGCGGGTGTGTCCACATATCCGAAGACCGCCGAGGATCCCTGGCGCGTTCAACCGGGGGTTGCGGTGGGGCGACGTGGAAGGACCAAAGGACGGGAGAAGGGTTCGGAACGGTTTCCAAAAGGAGTCATTAGTCCACTAGTGTTTGGTTTTTTAGAAAGAATAGAAGAGAAGTACTACATCCTCAAAACATTGCATTGATCCTGTCAAAAGGGAACATCAACCGCCATTATACTGAGTCCATGTGGTCTCCCTGTGTGCTTCAAGCCCGTGTCCCACCTGCGTGACTGCAAAGCGCGCGACGGCCAGCAGAATGAAAGAAGTCAGGGCCAGCACCGCTAGTGAGATGGCACCTGTAGCCGAGCAGACCAAGCCTTTGACATGTCTTGCAGGACGGGTAAAGGACTCGCCAAGAGGATCAGTTGTTACTTTGAAAAAAAATAAAGACGTCACCAAAAAACAGTGAAGACCATCACGAGGAACAGTTCTCATAGTGAGAATGAGAGCCGTAGTCCGAAGCTTTGAGGAAAGCCAAAGGAATTTGACTCAAACCATGTCAAAACAAAAGTAAGTATATCATCTCCTTGCTAGAACTCCCAACTGACCTTCACCAAGTGACCAGACTCACTGTTCTTTGTTTTTCTTCAGCTTTTGCTTCAGCCTGACAACAGCCCCACTACACCGATGCTCTGCCCCCCACCTGTCGCCAACCTGCGGCCCCCAGGCTTACAGCCTCAGCTGAAGCCAGGAGGTCCGGGGTACGGGCTGGCAGACCTCCCCAAAGGTCCGGGAGGGCGGAAAACGAAGGCCACCGATGTTCGGAAGAGTAGAGGTCTCCACGTACAAGGAATTCCCGAAAGCTACTGATGTTGAGCCACGTAGATGAACCTTTTTGGGGCGCAGGGTTTCAGAAACACTTCCCGCCCGTTTTGGCACTTTCAACCCGAAGACGTTTGTTCGGCGTTTTGAACACCACGAAACGACTCACTCACATCTGTCTCGCGGCGTTTCCTCCACATCGTCTCAGATCTTTGTCGCCTCTCTTCCTTTCTCCCACGAAAAAACGAAGCCCCACAAAACATCGAAGCAAAAGGCACAGCGAAACCCCGCGGCCAAAGGGCCTTCTTTTTTTGCAGCGAGTTTCCGAGCGAAACCGCTCTCCCGTTCTCGGCCTCCCAACTCACTAACTCCAAGCCCGCGGTGAAGACCAGCAACGTGAGGCCCATCTCCTCACGGAGTGGGAACTTCGTGGCACAGAAGGGGAGAGTCTGAAGATGAGGCAAAGGGAACGCTGACGCTGAACGTTACGAGGCACTGAATCGCATCGGACCGCCCGGCCCCAAAAGGACCCGATCCGCACCCCCGACACTGGTCTCCCTTGGCTTCGTCGGGCTGGGAACGGGGCGGGCGTCGGGGGCAATGGAAACGGTGAACGACTGTTCGATTCGCCCGTGCGCGCTTAACACATGCCTGCAGGACCCACAGAGTCCCTGTAGTTCGTCCCGAAAGCGACATGTAGTTCGTTGGCTCCAAAAGAATGTCCCGTTCTCATGCACCGAGTCCCTATGACATACTTTTCTGATGGTCTCTGCGGGGGTCGGTTGGGTTTGTTGGCTCGTTTCGCGATGTGTCCGGCACATCGGGAGGAGTGGAGTCCTTGCAAAGGCAAGCAGCCACCGCTAAGAGGCTGCAGAGGAGCACCTGATTCGGCCGAACCAAAAAGGAGTGGTAGATACCCTAGGGGTCCAACCACATCCCCAGAAGGTGGTTGGGGTGGGGTTGCGGGGTCTACCTTCTGAGGATATGGTTGCCAACCTGCTGTTGGGATCATGTCCTGCTGTTGGTAATCCATGTGTTGCAGGTGAAGGTTCGGCGAGCCTCGTAAAACCTTCTTCCAAGATTCAAGTCTTCAAATCCTTGCTCAACACTCGGACTGCAATCTGTGCCTATGAATGTAGTTGTTGTGTTGAAGCACAGCCAAGTCACCAGCAACACGGCAGAAAGCTTCGGCAAATAATTCTTGTCCTCTCAAGAAAAACTTCGGCACCTTCTCTGCCTTTCACAAACCAGAAGGCACCATGTCCATCCCTCGAACTATGTCGATGTCTTTCCAGCTCACCAGCTACGACTCCATGAGCCTCGACTTCAGATCTCTGCAGATCAAACGGATTCAGCCGATGACCCCGCTCCTGCCAGCGCCGTCGAACCTCCAAGTGCGCTAGAGCTGCTAGAAGCCAGCCGGTGGTCGCAAGCACATCCGCGCCTGAGTGCGTTACAATCAAAGATAATCAAAGAACGATTTCAGGACTTCCTCCAAAAAAAAATACGAGACTTCATTAGACTCTCTTCCATCACGGTAGTTACAGCACATTCAGGGAACTGGAAAGTACTGTAGGCGTCCAAGTGGATGAACCACGAAGTCCCCATCTCAAAGAAAATGCTAAGGCGAAGGCCGCCAACGTCTCAAGTTTCTACACTCTCCAGTGATGCAGTGTTCAAAACCTCTTATAGTGGTCCCCAAATAAATAGTGGTACGGTTTCCAATACACGTTGAAAGGAATCGTAGTTTTCTGTCTATTTGGGGGTCTATATTTTTGGATGTGTTCTTTCCGAAGTTGGTCGGATCGTTTCTTGTGGGAATTTGCCATCAGCTTCGACTTCGACTTCGGTGGAAACCCATGACCCGTCCCAAGGATTGGATGGAAAACGCATTGAAAAATACATCACTCAGCCATCGGCGGCCCACCAGGTAGACGATGTTCTCGACCTGAAGAGAGTCGCACGGAGCAGATTCTTGAATCCCTCAGCCACTCTCGCCAGGCTTTCGGCCAACTTTTGGGGAAGGAGAATTTGATGCGCACATTCAATTGTGGACACCATTGTGGACCGGTAAGCGTGCAACACATAGGGTTTGGGAACCGGGCGGACCAGTCCAGTCCCGCTTCATCCAGTCCCTCTGAAAAAAAACAGACCCAGGGCGGCCCGGACGTGAACCGGATGCGCTGCAAAGAGGCACGAGGCCAAGGAGGCCCAGTTCCGCAAGCCCAAGCGCCGCAGCAAGAGCCTCGTGAATCACCAGGTGCACAGATTGCTGGAAACATTATACCCGCATAGACCCCAAACAGTTTGTGCGTTTATGAAGTAAGCCACAGAGACGAACTGTCAAACAGTCAACGGCTCAAACCGTTCCAGCTCGCAGTGATCAACTCGGACCTTCTGGGTTTGTTTCTCAATATGCTGAGTTGCACTGACACGTGGTTTTATCACGCTTTGTTTGGTTAAAAAATGCTAACAGCTTCGCACCATGAGTTTGTGAGGTTAGACCAGCAGGAGACAAAGAGGAGACAGCGGGAGAAAATTGGGAGACAAGTGTAAAATCATGTGGCCAGAGCACCCACAAGGGACTGGAGACCGTGGGAGACAAGTAGCAGACAAGTGTAAAATCATGCGGCGAGAGCACCCACAAGGGACTGGAGACAGTGGGAGACAAGTAGGAGACAAGTGTAAACAAAATCATGCGCCAAAGAACCCACAAACGAGTCTTTTGTGGGTGCTCCGGCTGCATGATTTTACACTTGTTTCCCACTGTCTCCACTGCGGAGACCAGTGGGAGACAAATGGGAGACGGTGTGCTCACAACAAACTGGAGACTGGGACAAGTCCAGAATCATGCGGCCAAAGCATCGACAGTGAACTGGAGACAGTGGGAGACAAAGAAAGCACCCACAGGAGACTGGAGACAGTGGGAGACAAGTGGGAGACAAATGGGAGACAATTATAAAATCATTCATGCGGCCAAAGCACCCACAGCGCAGGAGACCGGAGACAAGTGGGAGACAAATGCGGGACGGGACAAGTGTAAATTCATGCGGAGACTGGAGACAGTGGGAGACAAATGGGAGACAAGTGTAAAATCATGCGGCCACAGCAACCAGAGTTGAGCTACACTCGCACCCATGTGAACGCTCATGCCACCCCCTCTGCCCGGCAAGGGTTTAGTATATAAACGTATCGCACCAAAGGACTAGCAGGGAAAGTGGGTGGAACACCGTGGAACTACGACGGTCTGCGTGACGATTCTCTTCAGGCAGGGCACCAAACCAACAGCGAGTTGCCCGCGTGGATGGCAGCATTGAAGGTCCGTAGGGGCTGCGGTCGAAAGAGCTCCTAGCTGCGGTTGAACGTAAAAACATCAGACATGTCGAGAACGTAGAAGGACCCAACTCTAGTCACCTCTTAAACTTAGAGACTTATTTTTTAAAGCTGGGAAGCTGGGCCCGCCCCCCCAACCCTCAACTAAAGACCTGGCAGTGAGGGTACTGAAACAAGAAATACTGGTCTCAAGCCTCAAGAGCTCCAAAATCATCCTTCCCCGCTCTCATTTCTTGCATTGGATTTGCTGTACAGCCTTGCACCATTCTTCCTTCTCAACATCGAGCCTTCGACCCTGTCAAGCGAATTCTGTACAGTACACGCCATCGTCCACACCGTCCACTGACGTCGTCCCTCACGGCTCTGGGGACGGCTTCGTCTTCGTTGTTGTCGGCGGGGGGACGGCAGGCGCCCCCGCCGCGCTGCCACTGGGTTTCTGGTCTTCTTTGTTCTTGCCCTCCAGGTCAGCACTCATCACCAGCCTAGAGATATCCATCAAGTGAGTGCCAAAGATTCGACCGTGATCCTGCGGATTCGCCTTCGTCTTCCTGAGCGAAACGAAGTAGAAAGGGTAGCCAAAGAAAAGCTGCCAAAGATGCCAGAAACCAATTTATCTATAGGAACTGAGACATGTGCATCAAGGTTTATTGCATTGGTACTAGATTGCAGGTTGCCCTTTCCTACATTCTCCGGAATGCAATCCTCCTCCTTGTTCCGCAGGATGTTTCTTGGTGTTCTGCCTTTGCCGAGTGGTCCAAACTTCTAAAACCTAACACAAGGAACACTTCCGGGATCAGGAAAACTGAAATCTTTGCACATTCACAATCTAAGGAAACAAGATATGAGTGAAGAGGTGTAAACTTTCCCCACAGAAAGGTGGTTTCTTATGTTTCCTTCAGGAAAAGAAGAAGATATCGCCTCGTGGTTGTCGTGGAGGGCTTAGCGGAAGCAAGCGGAGCATCCTGTTGTCCAGAGCCCTGTTGATCCATTCGGTTCACTAAGTTATACCAGCATAGACCCCAAACAGCGTCAGCATTTTTTTCGGCGTCGGCATCAACTCCGAAAATTCCAATGTTGGTGGAAACCAATGCAAGAATACTTTTCTAAAGCCTCCAGCTGTTTGGGAACTGCACGCCCGGACACAGAGCCGGGCCACAGAGTTCAGGGGCGCGGCCAAGACAAGGACAAGACCCGGACACGGAGCCGGGCCACAGAGTTCAGGGCGCGGCCAAGACAAGGACAAGAGGAGGACAAGCGGCCAGTGAGTGGCCAGCTCTATTTTTCTAAGATAGAACCCCAACAGTAAACTGTTTGGTGAAAAAATAAAGAGCAAAGAACGAAAAAAGGGGTGCCAAGCTTGGAGGAAGTCGGGGTGCCCAGAACATCCACTCACTGGATGGGACGAACCAAACCACCCTGCTCCTTTGTGACTCCTCGGGGAAAAGCAAAAGAAAAGAAAACACAAAGAAAAGACCAGCATCTTCTCCGTCAACATGGCGGCAATCTTCTCATCATCATATTCGTTCTTATCCAGTACCGACCTCAAAGCAATGGCCAGCTCATGCTCATACTTCTCCGGATGTGCGCTGAACATCACTAAGGTCAGCATCGCGGTGGAACGGCCAGGTACCTTGTCACACCCGGCCACCGCCGCATTGGCTAAGAAACGCAGGTTGCAAATGCCGATTCCTCCAGGGAAAAGAGAAGGTGAAGCAAACACATCACCAACCTTCCTAGCTTTCGTGGCCCACCTTCGCTAAAAGGCTTTGCCGATCAATATGTATGTTTACGAACAGACTACAAAACCTGGATAACCTCTTTTAATGGTCTTGGACGGCTAGGGTCTGGTTATTGTCTGTTGGCATCTTCCTTTAACCTCCCGAAGACAATCCTAAGACAAGCTAGTCAACAATGCCACCATGTGTTTCTTCCCAAAAAAAAGCGCGTCCTGTCTCTGTCACTGATCCGATTAAGTGGTCGAGGTTAAAGTCAGGAGCCGCTTCCTTCAGAGAAGCCTCACAAATATCGAAGAGCGCATCTACCTCATCGCCCACTAACCGGCAGTCCTTCACACCTCAGAACCGCTTCGGAGTCGGAAGATCGTTCCCGGGGTTCGCCCGGGGATCGCCCCCCCGGGATAGTCGTGCGGTTGGGCGTTCTCTGAAAACCAGCTTTTGAAAGAAGACCATGGCCCAGTCGACCGGGGATTTTGTTTGGACCGTAAAGATTCTTGAGGTCTCAGCAGATCAAAATGTGCTATATAGATTCTCAAACGAAAGGACCTGAGGTGTCAGCAGTGATGAAGGCTTCGAGCATCAGTTGCAGTAGTTCCGCGCAACTCACAGTGTGCAGTTCTTGCAAAGTCTCTTCGAATTGTTGTAGATTCTCTCCCATCTTCTGCTGAACTGCTTGCAGCTTTACACGCGTATCGCTCAGGTCGTTCAGCTGCGCAGCAAGCATTTCATTCTTGCTTTTGAAGATATCGTTTTGTTTCTTCATCGCTGTTACTTCTTGTTCTAAGCCTTCATGGGCATACGCGGCCCCCCGCAGACACAATCGCACCAAAGCATAGCAACAAGGCGGCAAAAGTCGCAAAACCATCCGGCTGCCCTCCAATGAATGGCACGCCAGCAAAAGGTTGTCCTGCAAGAGCGGGCCTTTTCGGGCGTAAAAAGAAGCTCAAACCCTCCGTGCCCCGTTGCGGATCTGCATCAAAAAGAGGGAGAAAAACCTAGAGAAACCAGGGTAAAACCTGGTTGAAGAACCACCATGAAGGCAGTCACTGTCTTCACTGCTGTCAGCCTCATTTCGAGCCTTTTGCGACCGGTCCACCGATCGGTCCCGTTGCCTTTTGCGACCGGTCCACCGATCGGTCCCGTTCGTCCTGTTGCTGCCATTAAGCCTAAAACAATCGCCAGCAGGGAGCAAGCGATAAAGGCATACGTGACCAGTCGAAAGAACCCAAAGGGACCAAGCCAACCACCTCAGCGGTCCGCGAAGCCGGAGCTTGCGGAGCGGCTTGCGGACCTAAGGGTCTTGGTCCGTTCGTGGTGCTGGGGGAGAGGTGAAGGGCGAACGGTAGGGCACGGTTCGAGAGACACTCTTTTTGGACATGTCTACTGGCAAATGTGCCAAGAAGCCTCGATGGGATCAAGGTTGTGACATGGGGTTAAAAAGCTTCTAAAAATAGGACAAACAACCAGCACCTTCAAAGGGGCCACCAATAGAAACCCCTACAGTACTCAGGGATCTCCATTGGGCGCCCCTTGAAGGTCCAGGTATGTCTATTTAGCCAAAAGTCACAAGGCTGAGTTCTTGAAGTGACAGGAAACTAAAATTGCGTCAGGGTGCACAAGCAAATCACTGAATAGACAAAAACCAAAAATCCAAACGCCCAAAAACAAGCGGATGTTGCCTAAACAACCACCTGTATCTGGGGGGGCCTCAGTTGCCATATTGGACCAAGAATTTGTTTCCGGCACAAGGCTTGGAAAGATTTTGTGACTCAGCCGGCAGTACTCCCACCAAACAAAAATTGACGACGACGCGGTGAAAAGAATGAAGCGATTCTCGATTAAATTTCAATGGCGCAAATCAAGCAAAACAACACGGACCAGGGTGGATTCGAACCACCAAAGTCAGTATGCACATCTTTGAGGACACAAAGAGAGACAACGCCTCCTCCAATGGGCAGCTGGTCCACTGACAAAAAAAGTAAAAGAAATACGATCCTTTCGAGATGAGGAGCAGGACCATGAGCCACACACTCACGCGCGAATAAAAAAAAACAGTAGAGGCCCCAACAAAGCCATAAGAACCCCCACCCAACGCAGCACACGGTGTGGGATAAATAAAGCGCGCGTGGGCCCACCAAGATCGACTCATCATTCTTTCCGCCTGGCGGGGACGGAAGTCCACAGAGGTCGACGACCTTGAAGCCCAGCGCGGCAAAGCCTGGCACCAACGCAACGAAGGTCAGGTAACAACCAAGCGATGTTAAAAATTCAATCTTTAAAATGATCTTGGAAGCGTTGGGGATAGAGTAGTGTTGGACTGCTGCTGCATCCTACACCCCATCTCGACCTGCCCACCACCTGCCCACCCACACGTGTCGCACCTGCCATTGAACAATCAAACTTCGGCATCTCCGTGGGGATCTCCTTCGTCAGCGACAGGCCAGTCTCCGGATCGCCTGGATCCTTGGCGCTCGTCACGTCGGTGCTCTTGGGGCTCGTCACGTCCGCATCGTTGGCACTTCGGGAGACCAGGGGCGCATCTGTCCTGGAGGGGCACAGCTCAAGCAAAAGAGGTGTCTTTAAATGAGATGCAGTGTAAGTGTGTGTATACTTGCATTATATGACATTATATTATATTATATTGCATTATATGAAACGTATATATATATATATGTATATACGCTAGGATTCAAACAACAATTGTTTGGATGGTCTTTACCAAAGAACCCTTGTTTTACTAAGGATTTTTACACTACACCACCAGCTCAACCGTTCCTTTAATGGTCTTTGAAGGCTAGGGTATACACATCAAGATCAATTCTGCATCCTCCAAGAGTCTGAATCACAGTCGGTGATTTTTCCGTTTTGAAAAGTGAAGGTCTCAATTTGGCCTGTTTCTCGTCGGGTGCGGGGCACCGCAAAAGGATTGGCCCACCATGGAGTTCATGGTTCTTCACAACCAGAATCAAAAAGGGTCACCCACAAGGAGGGGTCTATGAATTTGCTGTCCGGCCGTTCGGTGTATGTATACCTAGACCCCATTTGACCTCTGTTTTGATAGGAAAAGACTATGTTTTGGCTCCAAAACAGGGGTCAATCAGGTTCTAGGTATATATACCTCTGCTTGGATAGGAGAAAAAACATGATATTAGGTATACCGTGAAAGTCGAGTCGACCATGGTTTAAAAATGGCCTGACTTGGTGCTCCAAGTCTAGGAATGTCTTTGGATTTCTTCTAGGATACATACAGTATATATATATATATTATATTATACATATACTACAGAGTGTTCAAAAGCCACAATATAGGTTGATGTCCATGCCAGGTACTATATACCTATTGGATCCTATTGGTTCTTCACCTATATAACGGTCCCCAACGACGGTCAGGCCATCTGTGGCGCAAACACACCCCGATGGGACTAGCCTGTTCACCCTACATGTGGGGTCGGTATATCGTTGAAAAGGGGATCAATGCATATGGCTGTGGGTCATGGCAGACCGGCGGCCGCACGGCCCGCACGGCTGCTACATGGTCTACTGGCGCCAACGAGCCAACGAACGACCCATGCTGGCGTCCGTCCTTTGCAGGCTCTCGTTCCTTCAAACGGTCAGGTTCCATGTGACGGCCGTTTCACCGGTGTTTCTTCGCGCCCTGGCGACCCTGGCGACCCTCGCGTCTGGCGATCGTTCTTGGGGAGTCTAAGCGCACCGTAGGAGTGACGAAGCAGGGTTCCAAGGGAAGCACCGTAGGAGTCGGTATTTTGAGGGAGACCCGGAGACCCTGGTGGATTTTGAGGGAGGTTGATTGTCACCTCCGGGATCGGAATGAGACCAACATGTCCAGCTGCCTGTCGTCCTCTGAGTCCTCCCGTCTGGGTTTCCAACCCACGTCCTGTCTGTTGCAGGAGCCGGTTCCGCAGGGGCCGCCGGAGCGCTAGGCGAGCGGGTGTTGCCACTCCGCATGGGGCCCATGGCAGAATCCAAGAGGTCAGGAGTTCTGTTGAAGGTCTCAACCACCCAGTGGTCAGCCGACGCTGCGTGGAGAATTCACTGGCTAGCCGATTCCATCCCCGAGCCAATAACTTGTTAAAGCAAGAGTGACTCCAGCCAACGCTGAAGCTAGCTTCCGTGATAAACCTTTCCATGGTGCTGGTTGATAGGTTCTTTGATTGGCTGAGATCCGATCCACTGAAGGTAGATAAATCTCAGGATCTTGATGTTGGCAGCTGATGCAATTCTGATATCTGAATCTAAAGGCTGATACTGATTGATGCCTCATCTGAATCTAGACGTAAGCCTGGCCTTCGCAGGCTCTTGAACCGACCCAAGTGCCGGGCTGCGAGCATGTCACGCCAAAAAGAGAAGTATGTCAGAACGCTGCAAGGAAACACATTGCAAGGAAAACTGTGGATGTTATGTCACAACTGCTCTATACAGCACTCTGTTATGTCACAACTCTAGTCTGAAACACATTGCAAGTCTCCCGTGACAAAAAAGTAATCACCACCTGGATGACATACAGTCAAGCCATCACCGGCAAGATGTGTGACTCTCAAATTCTCAGATGGTCATCGGAGTCATCACCTGGTTGTTTCCTAAGCCATTTCCCAAGTGATCACGTCGTCAGCACGGCCATAGACTGCCCAAGTCATCTTCCTCAATGGCTCCACCACCCCCCAGACCCAAACAGACCCACGACGCTCTCTCGCCCTCTCCTCGCCCAGGAAGCGAAATTGCCAGGCGAAGCTCAGCACAGCCAGGGGACGATAGGACTTGTGCGTCCAACTTTGACCCCACAGAGGGTTGCCCCAAAAGTCGTTGCTGAAGACCTGGCGGGAAGTCGTCGTTCCGAAAGGGACTGTTCTTGGGCGGAACAGGACGGTTGGCTGGGGCGAGAGACTGATGAAGGTGGTTTTGTGGTCGGACCGCCAACCGGGGGAAGTTCTTAGCCGGTGAGGGTTGTCATTGAGTAGGTGAGCTTTTAGAGACACCCCCAGAGCAAAGCAAGCTGAAAGGTGGTGCAAAAGTTGTTTCTTTGTGCTGGATGGTTTCCGTTGGTTTTTAGCTCATGGCATCTCATACAAGTAGCCAATAGAAAACCACCAGCCGAACAAAAGTTAGCCAGCATATCCCCACCGTTTCTGACGCCTGATCTCCCACACAAACATTGGCGGAAGCCGGAAGCAACCCAATCGTACCACACAGACGTACTATCAGCTGATCACCGCGAGGAAAGAAGGCTCGACCCGTCCACCGTCATGAACGTGGACTCTTGATATCTCTTGATGATATGTCAACCCCTGAAAATATGAAGAGGTTTGATCATCCAAGTATCGCGGGTTATGCATCAAGAGTCTACCTGACATCGTCAGGATCCTGTGTCGTGTACTCGTCTGCTCTTCATCATTCGTCTTCGTTTGCGCCTGTGTGAGGCTGGTCTCTCCCCGGGCGTCTTCGTTGCGCAGCACCGCGAAGAGCTCGTCGATATACCTGGGCCGCGGTTTGGACGGGTAAGCGGAGGAGCCTCGGATTGGAGGGACGAAGCGGGTGCGAGACGGTGCCACGCAGTGCCCTACTACCGTGCTTTTCAGTGGTTTCAGAGGCGAGTTCGATGGCACCCACAGATTGTCTTTTCATCATTGGTGCCCTGGGTTGACCTTCTTTGCCGTGTTCACGTGGTTTCGGAGCTTCGATAGCACATGTTGGTACCATCGGATGTTCTGAAACCACTGGAACAGGGCATACTGTCTAAGGCCGGATCCTTTGACCCCGATGTCGAGGTGAAAACCACATGGTCTGATCCGCGGTCAGGTCGGCTTGTAGCCACCAAGGCACGGCCCCGCCGCCCAACCCACAGAGTATCGAGCCTTCTTGTGACCTCTGTTTTTGAACCACCAACCACCCAAAAAAGGGGCTTTTCCTATCAAAACAAATGTCAAGTGAGCGTGTCTATATCTTTTTGTGCATAGCACCCGCCGTTCAATTCAAAAATGATTTTATATATATTTTTATATATTTCCCTAGAAGTCCAAAGACTATCTTTCGACCGACTGAAGTAAAGGAAATTATTTTTTCGGGTCACCTAGTCAGACCATTCTGTTTATAGTCTTTGACTCCGAGCATATATTATAATATATATATATATATATATAATAGCAAACACATGCTTTCAATTGGTGCACCTCTCAGGTGGTTTCATCCAAACATGTCTCCACCACCAACTGCATCACAACTCCCATGCCACGCGCAGAGCTGCCACTCGCTGTAGGTCACACAGGGTGCATAGAGTAAGCCTCAGGCCAGGTAGGAAGGAGTGCATAGTACACACTGGAAATTTAACATGGAACCTGAAAACCACGTCGGGTTGTAGAGGAAAATCGTCTTCCAGTCTGGTCCATGCCGTTCGGTTCCATGTCGACGTCTCTTCCTGGGTGTCCTTCCAACAAAGTGACATGGACCCAACGACTTTCCGTGGTCTTCCGGAGTCTTCGGTCTGCTCGGTCCAAACCGCTGTGACCCGACCGGGGCGTTTTCGACCGGTCCCACCCGGCCCCTTCACTCCCTTCACTCGGACCGCGCCGTTCACTCGGATGGCGGCTTCCCCCGGCCGTTCCACCGGCCCCTTTTGCTCAGCCCAAGCGACAGCAGAGCACGGGCCACAGGGAGCTGAAGACGCGGCGTCGCCGTGCGGGGTCGGAAGTGGAGGACGCATGGCCATTGGCCTAGCGGAAATGGCGCGGTGAAGGAGGGATTTGGCTGGAAACATAGCGGGAAGAAACGAAAGACATCTTCGACCAGAAGGAGGATTCACCCGTAGCCAAACCAAGTGAAGTGTGGACATTGACCAAGTCAAAGTAGGGGGAGGTGAAAATCAGAGGATTCGTTCTGAGGATGTGTTCTGAGGATTCACTGATCATGGCAAGCCTGATCGTCGCTAAGCTTAGCTGCTGGAAGATCCGCCAGCCATGTAGCTTTGCCGAGAGAACTGTAGTTTTGCAAGTCGAACACATCCGGATGGTGGAATTAGGACCACCGAACTCACAAAGAAACAAAACAAATATGCAGCTTTCAGCGTTTGATCGTGAAGTCGGATCAAGTCCCGCCTTGTCTGTTCTGCCCCAGCCATGCCTATTTTATAAAGGGATATAAAGGGTATATAAGATTTAAGTCGCTGCAGCATCCCTTCAAACAAAAACATTGAGCAGGCTTGTCAGCTAGAGATCAGAGATGGCAACTGAATAAGCTAAGTAGCATCAGAATGGCAAGATGTGGAGAAAAAAAAAGAACTTCAGAACTGGCAACATCGCCATCCGCCACGTGCGCCCGCCACGTGCACCCGCCACGTGCGCCCGCCACGTGTTCCCGTGGCGCACACCTGCATCCCGCAGCTGTCCACCACGGTCACATTGAGATCTCTACGGTCACGTCGGCTGCTGATGACCCCCAGCTGAATCGATCAGAAGTGTCACGCTTGGTCCACTGCAACACCTCCCGCTGCGGCCTCTTTGTTCTTTTTTGCCGTTTAAAGAGATTGAAAGTTTGTTATTATACGTATGATTGTTTAGATATTTGTATTATTTAAGTGTTTTATGGTTCTCTTTTTATGCCCCTATGTGTGGCATTCTATTTTTATGGTGTTTGCTCTTTTCGTGGTGCGGTTTGGTGTGTGGTGCGGGAACCACTGATCTGACTGGAGCGGTGCTTTGCTCGCCACATCCTGTCTTCAACGCAAGGCTGTAAGCCAAGCACAGCAAGTTGAGTGAAGTGTTCAACTTCCAAGTTCGAGCCACCCTGGAAAGAAAATGCCTTGGGAACTGCTTCGGCTTCTGCTTGGGGTTCACACCTGACAGAGCTGGTCATGTGATGGCCGCCGCGAACGCGGTGCTCATAGCGCTGGACGAAAGAGAACGAATCAAAACAGTAAACACATGTAAAGACGACATGTCCACCTACAGTAAACACATACATCAACCCACAGTAGACGACCTGGAAATGAACAAGGTCGAAATCATCCGTGGTCTTCCTTCCTCCCCATACATCAACCCACAGGACTAGCACCCACAGGTTTCTCCCTCTTTTTCCTTGGGCGCTCACAGATGTTCTCCGAACACACGGTGCTTTCGGCACCCGTTCGGGCGGGCGGGAGCGCTCCCGTCCTGCACAGCATCCTTCGTGTGTTTCGGACGGAGCAGGTCTTAACTACTCGGCTTCTCCGCCGGAGGAGGAGCTGGTCTTCGCCGCTGGAAACGACGCTCTCGGCCCTGGTAGAAGCTTGTAGAGAACACTCAGTCCTTGTAGCATAGTACCAAGCCCTCTGAGAGTGGCCGTCTGGAACACCTGGAGACATGGATCTCCACGCAAAACACGCAAAAACCGCGCGTCCACGACCGTGAATGGGGCCGACATCGGGGTCTTGCTCCGCTGAGCCAAAAACATGCCGCACCTTTCGTCGTCCAACGAGTGCCGAGTTGGGGAGTTTGGATGGGAGCTGCTCGAGGTTCTTGGGGATTTCGTGCCATGTGCCATGTGCCAAGCAATTCGTTGATCGTCTCGCGCAAGTTAGCCATGCCCACTTAGACTCTAAACACTCTACCAAAAAGGCGCAGAATCATGCAGAATCCTGCATCTGACCACCTATAGTTCCATAAACTAAAAACTCTGTGCAGGAACTAGTATTGAGAAAGCAAATCCATTTGGATCCCTTTGGGGTCTTCAGTTTGGTCTTGATGTGAACCCTGACTGTCGGCTTAGCACTCAAACCTCTCATCTCCCAAACCCGTACGGTGGGACCGGGTAACCCGGGTTTTGATGCTTGCTTTTTCTTGCCGGTGTTCGGCTTGTTGTGATGGGCTTATCGCGGTTCAAAGATGTTCAAAGTACAAACCTTGCTGTTGATGTTGTTTTTCTGTGGACATGTTTTGGTTCTTTTGCCCTCAAATTGTCTTTTATGTTGATGTTTTTGGGATTGGGCGAGGGAGTTGGTGTAGTGGTGATGCAGGGCTTTCCGGTGTCTGGCTTTAAGACCTCGGCACTAAACACTTCCGTGGCCAAGCTTTATCACTTGCACCAGCACCAGGTCACCAGATTGCAGGGGAGAATCAGCACTGAACATTCGGCAGCGAATGTCTTCTTTTGATGGACAACTGCAACTGCTCCCGACAAAACAAGCCAAGGTGCTGTTGCTCCTGGTGGTGGAGTGTCAAGCATATCCAAGCCTGATTCGGCTTGTCTGGGGGAGCAACTAAAACAACAAGTCCCTTATAAGCCTTAGCCTACAGCCAGCTGGGCGTCCCAGTTTTTGGGAGAGACACAAGTTGAAGCCAAACCCAGCACCTGCCGTGTCGTTGACCTGCGGTCTTGCTGTTTCATGAGAAATTAACCACGTGTCCAACTGCCTTGAACAACCTGCTGGTATGGATGATTGAAGCGATAGCTTGCGATGTAAAACTAAAAAACTGGTAAAAGAATTGTCTCGACTATCCTGCCATAGCCATCATCCTACCTCCACGGCTTAAAACCATGACTTCTCCGTTGACGTCACCAGATCACCGAAGAAGGTGAATCTCCAGCCGAGCGTCGCATCACGAGGACCTCGAGACCGCGCCGCGTCCGGTAGGCGAAAAGGGACACCCCGTTGGACACAACGGAAGGTTGCACCTTGAGCACTGGTTTGATGGGAAACCCTCTTTTTGGCTCCAAAACAAAGGTCACTCAGGAAGCAGTGGATGGAAAATTCGATTACACCTGATCTGAGGTGTTCATCCATCGAATCAAAGGACACTTTGTATGTGTGCTCGGGCGTGCGTTGATTCAGCACACATCGGTGCACCTACTAGCAGCCTACTGAAGATCTATCCGGTGACTGGTGCAAAAGCTATGACATCCCAAAGCTATGACATGGTGAACATTCCAAGTTCCTTTTCCCCAGAACTGCAAGTCTTTCAAAAGGCGTCACACCGGTCGTTTTTCTAAACAAAGCACTGGTCACACACGATGTCACCATGTTCCTCTGCCCCCGTCACCCTGACCGGCGCTCCGCTCCTCTACACCGTCGCTCCGTCGCTCCGCCGCTCCCGCTGAGGGTCCCCCGGTCCGAGGGGCCACTCGACAGTGGTTGTAGGATCGGTTGGCCAAACCCCGGTGAAGCACGCGAGCCTCAGCGGTCGAACCCCACGGCGCGAACGCGCGGCGCGCACGGACCGAACCGCCCCGAACGCGAGCCGATCCAAGCAAAGCGCGGTGCGACAAAAGCACGGCACGGTTTGAAGGATGTTTGGGTACCAACCAACCTGAGTCTCCGAAATAGGTCGAACGAAGAAGGCTGAAGCGGCCACTTGCAGACTTCAAAGGTCGCAGGTGGTCATTTGTAGAGTTGGGTGCTGAAATGACCTGTTCAGCATGGTCGTTGTATCTAGTTAAATATATTATATATATATAATATATGATAAAAAGCCACAGAACCGGCCAAGAGTCGCGGTGATCTGTTCGATTGCGGAGGTGGGCTTTGTGTCCAGACCGTTGTTCTCATGTCGATGGTGGGGGCCAGACACCCAGCCCGTTTGCTTCCAGTCCGTTTGGGAAAATCTTTTCATGCACGCAAATCGCAAAGCAATGACAAGAACAACCAGCACCACCCAGTATCGGAAGCTTTAGGGCTGGAAAATCAATACCCTAGCCTTCAAAGACCCTCAAAAGAATGGTTTACCTGGTGTTGTAGTGTAAACTCCTTAGTAAAACAATGGCTGCTCAAATCCGGAATAGCCTGCAGGTAAAACCTGGTAGTTCTTAGAACTGCAGCTCAAGAGGCATCATAGACCAGCGCCTAGCAACATCCACTCGGAGCGCCGTTGGGAGCGCCGGAGTGGGGTTTCGAGCTCCGTTTCGGAGTCCGGACCGTGATCTTTTTGGTTGGCTGTCATCACATTGGACGTCCGGACTTGACCATGAAAAAAGGGTTGACCTACGGTTTTGTGGTGTAAAAACCCTTTGTAAAGCAATGGTGGTGCGGGATTCAGCCTATGAAATTCATGGTGGGTGGGTGGACTTTTAGAAATCAGGCTGTGAGAAACCATCAGGACAGTGCCGATGTTGGGAGAACCTTCGCCCATCATCAATTTTTGTCATAGCCTTTAGCGTTAGAGAACATGTCTGTTTAAAACTGGGTTTTAGACCAAACAAGGTCCACCTTCATGACAGGCTAATTGAGAAGGTGAACTCAGGGGAACCGGAAATGCCCCAGCGAGACTTCTTCGTTCCAAGCATTTGGGAGACGGTCGATTTGCACCACCAGTGGCCGCTCGGGGCGCCTCGCCCGGCCGCAGCGGCTGAGGCGCCACCGTCCCACCCGCCGCCAGGAGTGGCTTCCAGGCCGCCGAGAGCGCGCCTCGTTCGTGGCGAAGCGGAGCAGTTCTCCAAAATCCAGCCCTGCGTGGCCTGTTTTGGACAGAACTAAACTTCAAACAAAAGAGTGAAAGCCAAAATGAAAATCAACAGCACGGTCCAGTAGTGGTAAAGTGCCATAGATATGGAGCTGAAAAAACCTGTGCAAATTTGTCTACCTAAGTTAGCTGGTGTTGTGGATGAAAAGGCCAAACATGGTAGGCCCAGGTTGGATGATCCGGAGTTAAGTACATATGTAATATATATATATATATGCCATGGTGCAAAATTGGCATGCCAAAATTCATTGAAGTGCGGTTTCCCAAGCTCAGATTGGCAGCTCACAGTGTTTACCCGTTCCCGCAACCGTTGACCATCCCTCCCACTACCATGATTGTTGCTTAGAAATCAAGAAGTTCACACATACCGAGAGAGGTGAACAGCCCTATACCCCAAACAAAAACCACAACACCTTGGTAGATTGCACCGGATTCCAACTCACATAGATTGCAGTTGGTGGAGGAAAGTGTCAATTAGGATGCTACGCCGCATGTGAACAAGCAGCTTGCGCGTCGCACGTAGGCGCACATCTCAGATGGAAGAATCACCGCAAAGAAATGGTACCTGGATTTGAAGAATGCATTTCTTCTCACGACAACCTGGTACTGGCGACTCCACCGGAACGGTTGACACCTCCCCGAGTCTCCGTATGGTCCAAAAGCGGTTGCGCTGACCGAGCGTTGCACCGGTTCCCCCGGATGGTCTCCGGTCTCCCAACCGTTCAGGTCTGAGACACCGCTGAAGAGGTGATGCGTCCCTGGGGCTTTTGGCTTTTGGCGTGGCAGGGTCTGGAGCATGGAGCAGGTGTTTTTCTTTCCAAAAAAAGGGTTGTTGTCTTGTATGTGGAAGATTGGAAGTTTGCTGAAGTTTGCTTCCTGCAATAGTCCCTTTACAGCAATTAAACTGTCTGCCTTGAAGAGACAATGGCGGAAAGCAATCTCTCCAGGCCACAGGTTGTCTCATGTGGTCTCTACAATGCCAACACAAGACTTTCAAAGACCCGTACGGTGAATGGTTTTGTAACTGTCACGGGCTTTCGGCGAAGTTGCGTAAAACTCGTTCCAGTTTGCAGTTGGCCTTCCCTCTCCACAAAAGCACTCATTCGGTCGAACGCGCCCCCCCTTCCAGCACCACCTTCGGTGCACGGTGCCACCATCGCTCGTCGTTTTGGGGGTCCGCTCCACCCACCGTCGCGCGCAGGCGGCAGGCGGAGGAGCGGTACCGCGCGTGGTGAGGAGCAACGCGCGGACCGCCCGGGCATCGTTCGGTCCTGGGAGAAGGTGGGTAGGACCCAACTCTTCGTCCACATCAGTCAGCGGCAGAATCATGGTCAAACCCGGCTGGAGGTTGTCCTCGGCACGCGCAGCGCAATGTGGACCGAGAGCGTTGGTCGTACGAACGAGTGGGAAGAGAAAGTTCGAACCGCCCAAGAACTGCGCATGACGAGTGCTGTTTTCTGTAGAAAAGATGATGGACCCAAAGACTCACGGACCCTCATATACAGGGATCATTATGGGTCTGGGTTCTCAAACGTCGGGCTGTTGACGGAGCATCTGAGGGGTCTAGATGCACCTGACCTCCATGCTGGCCCCTCCTCCGCATCCTTCAGCACAAACAGAACCACCCGCATCCTGCCGACCTCCCTCCTCCCTTCACCGGCGCTTCACCGGCTCCAAGTGTCGCAGTGCCAAATCTGGTTCACCGCGCCCGGATCCGAGACCAGCAGCTGGCATTCCGACAGGTACAGGCCTCGGAGGGTCTCCGTCTCCTCCGTCGAAGTACCGAGGGCGAACGACGAACGACGGACGACGGAGGAGAGCGAGAGAGAGAGGCACCGCCAAGGCTCACATCTACCCACCTCCGCGGGCACGGAGCAGGGAAAAAAAACCGAGAACCGAGCACGGAGTCTAACTGAAAGCCTTTCCGGGCGAAGCCTTTCTGAAAGCGTGGGGGTTTGGGTCCCAACAAATACCGACGACGACGGAATCCACATGCGATCTCTTCTTTCGCGAAGAGCGAGTCCTGCGTCGTGAAGTGGGGGGGGGAGTGATGCCGAGGCAATCCACCCACTTCCATCTCCCAAGCCACTTCCATCTCCACCATCACCTGTCTCTCACCGCCGCTTTTTCGCACCGAGGGCTCGGGCTCGGCTGCTGCGCCGGCAGCTGCTGTGCCGAAGCTGGGATCCGGACCCGCCGTTCGGCGGGTGGACAGGTGCCGCTGGGCTCCCGCGGAGCGGGGGACAAAAGAAGGTGTCCGGGGAGTGCCTTCTTGGGAATACCATTGGCAAATTGGACTGAGTTTATTCTAGACTCTATACAGTTCTCAGTTCTCAGGTCAGAGAGTGTGTTTCTTTGGCTCAAGGCACACGAGACACTGGACAGAGCCAAGAAACTTCTTCAAGCTCTCAGCTCGGTGCAGGGCAGCACTGAAGCTTCGAACGCAGGGTCAGACAGATTCGCTAACCCAGACTGACTCAGACTCCCTCCTCTCTAAGAGAGGGCAGGGGCTAAACAAGCAAATCAGATTTGGTCGCAAATGAAATTCTGATCACAAACTGTTTTCTCACTGGTACGTCTTTCCTTCGGTCACTTCTAGAAAGGAAGCGGGATAAGATGAAGACCCATCGGACCCATCACCATTCTAGACTGACAAGGCATTTGCGGAGATCGTGCCATGGACGCTTCCACCCGGCACCAGCGCCTCCAAAGCATCGCTACTCAGTCCAGCCTTTCCGATGTGCGAGAGGAAGAGAAGATGTTTGGCCATTTTCTTGTGCATCACCTCCAGATCGTCCATCTGTTGTCGCATCTTAAAGCTTTGCTGCTTCAGGGCATACCTGAGGTGAGGTAGTGGCTGGCCAGGCCAGGGGGCTTGGTATGAAATGGCACACGCGTACGCAACGCGCAAGGCTAGGCGTCCTTCATTGAAATCGTTGCCACGCATAGATTTCACTCACAATACCACTTGACTTGACTCAAATAGTTTGGATTACATATAATATATATATATATATAAGTGCGAGCGTAAGCATGATGATCATCTTGATCGAATACTGTACTTGATCAGTAAAGAAATTGTGTGTATATATATATATATTGAAACATAAGTTAATGTCAGGATGACCTGCACTTGGCAGCAAGAAGACTTGGTTTATAACTTGCAACAGAAGCCTTAGATTGGGTTGTTCTTCTAAATGATGGAAAATTGCAGAAATCCTCTTTACCAAATCCAATCGTTTGGCCCCATACACATGTGCATTATACAGTATATGTTTGTTGTTGGTCGTATGATCAAATAACGCATGCCAAATGCAAAGTAGCAACAAGTATATCAACAAAATGACGACTGGTCAGTCGCCCCCTATCAGCGAAAATCGCATTGGATAGTTCATGGGTGAGCAAGTTTAATGGGAAAAAAAAAGCACATGTTGGGATAATTGATCCTCCAAAACAAGGCACCACTCAGGTTTGAACCTGGATGACCCTTGTGTTTGGAGCCAAAACATTGTCTTTCCCTATCAAAACAGGGGTCAAACGGTTGTAGGTGTGTGTGTATATATATATATATATATGTAATATGTGTGTGTGTGCTGTGCGCCCAGGATTCCAGCGTCAAACAGCCATTGTTTTACTAAGGATTCCAGACCACCAGGTCAAACCTTTCTTTGAATGGTCCAACCGACGGCGAACGGGTCTACAGTCCGCCCGATCTTCCAGTTCAGGCCGCCTTTCTCCTGCCAAGCTTCAAGTCGACCGATCGGGCACTGCCATGGAGCTGCATGCACCGCTCCACAAACTCATCGATGCTCACCACGAAGTCACCATCCACATCTAAGCTTTCCTCGAGCACCGTGTCTTCGGGATCGTCGCGCGACGATCGGGTCCAAAAGGGCAGGAACGATCAACCCCTGACGGGTCTGACGGGTGTCCGGATCCTGAGGGAATGGATTTTGAGGTGGCGAAAATTCCATCATTCCCTACTAAGCAGGAGGAATGTCGGGGAAAGTCGAGGGATCAAATGCTCATATGGAAAAGCCTTCCGTTCGACCATGAATCAGTCTGTGGACCTGGTGTTGTAGTCTAAAATCCGTATCCAAAAGACCAAAACAACCCAACAACATCCAGAGCCTCAAAACCTAGGGATTGGTGAGCAACCCCCAGAAACACCCGGTCAACCGTTCGGCAACCTGTCCTCTCCAGCCAGGAGTCAGAGCCCTTGGGGTCAAGGAATATATATATATATAATATATATATACATATATATAGTGTATAGCTATTTGGTTGGAGGCCATCGCTATTCTGGGTCTTCGTCTCTCGGTTGAACCCTAGAAGTCTAGTTCGACTATATTTTGACTGGCTGAAGTAAAGGAAGTTCCCTTTCAGGTCCCCTAAAGACCATTCTTTTTATAGTCTTTGACTCCCAGGGTATATAGTATATAGAAGACTTTATGACACAATCGCTCTCCATACGATACGACCCAGTTGGCAGGACCTCTTTCCCTCCGAAATACTGACCAAGACCATTGGCATGTCCAATGGGTCGTCTTCCAATCTTCCTGTCCCACGTTGTGAGGTTGTCTGTCGTTAAGGGGCAGACTGGATCACATATCATTTGTGGCATGGTGGCAAATTTCATAGAAAAGGACACACCATGAAGTCTAAGTGTATAAATCTCAGCAACTCGCAGATGGACTATACCTGGACCCTCCAGTTCGTACCTTCTAAAATGAGATGACTCATTTTCGGAGGTAGAAACGCAAAACGCAACGTGCAGCATGGTAAAGCTTCGGGTCAAACTGCGTCGGTCTCGGCGAACAAACACCGTCGACGGGGGGGGTGCCGACACCGGCGCCCAAAAACGACCCGGGGGCTTCAATATTCCTGGTACTTTGATTCAGCTGGATTCAGTGCTTCACTTGCTCCATCCGTTTGGAAAAAACCGAAGCAATACCCACCTGACTCTGAACGCTGCTGGGGTCGCCTCCTGCGACCGCGTCGACGCGTCGGTTCGGCCGTGGCGCAAAGAGCGTCCAGGCATCGACCGCGTCGATCTCGATCGCTTCGAAGAAGGCTTTCATGTCCTGGGCGGGTCGCTCGCCGGAGCTCGGAGCCGCCCAGCTGGCGGATGCTTCGCTTGACCTGGGAAGCCTTGGTAGTCTAGAAGCCTTGTTTTTAACCATGGTTGTTTCATGTTGTTTGGTCATGACCCTTGAAAGTAAGCATGCTGGGCGACCGGAATCATCCTAGGCGCCTACACAAACATCGACACGAAGGACCGGTGTTGCCTCAGGCGCAACCGACCGTGGCACGACCGGACTCCGACCAGCCACCACCGGCCGTCACCGTGAAACCTCCAGAGAACCACATCCGAACGGAACCGTCGTTCTCTGACGCAACCGAAGAGGTGTTCAGAGATCGAGAGACGAAGACCCAGTTCGCCACAAGGACTTGGCAAAAACAGACGCGTCGCCGCCGCGTCTGTAGAGGCAAACAAAGCCAGCGGACCGTGCGGACTGGTTCTCGACTGCAAAGACGATCACCAAACAGCCGATGAACAGGTGGTGAACGGGGCAACGGACGTTGCCTCACATTGAATGATGGAGATACCAATGGGTGATCAGTGATCAGTGATTATGGCTTGTGACCGAGCTAGGGTGACAAACCAGGCCCAGTGTCGGCGAAGATGGCCGTTTCAATTGAATGGATGTTTTGCTTGGAATAGTATCCCCTACTTCCCCTCTTGATACCCTTGAAATGGCCAGAGACACGGGATAAAAATGGATAAAACAGGTAGATGACCACGTTGTGGTTGAGAGCTTCTCATTGGACATACAGTGCCCATCTACGTTCCAATGAAAGGACTCAACAAATCTCGAAAATGGGAATCTCTCTATATATACCTAGAACCCGTTTGACCTCTGTTTTGATATGAAAAGACCATGTTTTGGTTCCAAAACGGGGGTCAATCAGGTTCTAGGTATATATATGAATCTATAGTTGTTCTCCGGACTTCCACCGAGCTTGTGAACAGGACTCCTCTTCTCACGTGGAAACATCAGGAAAAGCGACTCAAAATGTCTTCCTCTCCTTCCAGACGTCCCCAACCCACCGGTCATCTACGTAAACGGTCCAGTCCATCCCGGTCTCCTCATCTTCGAAGATCTTCTCGAACTGCGAAATGGTGATCTTCCCGAAACCGCCCGCATCCATCTTGTAGAAAATCTCCTGCCCAGGACGGTCTCGGTCGGCGAGGCCGCGGTGAATCCGACGCGACCTCGGCGTCCTCGTGGACGAAGGACGCAGGGACGCAGCTGGACGAGTGACCCGAGAAATCGAATGGGAACGCTGTCGGTGGTGTCAACTCTGGTCGAACTGGACTTCGTTCGTAGCTGAGCCGATGCGATTGGTGAGGGTTTCCCTTTGGGGGACATCCTTGCACGCGATTGGACTGACGCTCCGATCGGAGCTCCTCGAGCACTCCTCTGAACCTTAGGTGCCGTCAGCTCCGTCGGCTTGTGAAGACGAGTCCGGTGTCTTTCCCTGTGTTTCCAGAAAAATACATGCTCTCAAGCGCATTTGCCAGGGATATTGTACTGGGTGAAAACCACTAAACATATGCCCGATCGCCTTCCGTTCGACCCCTACAAAATAGTTGACCTAGTTTTCTATAGTGTGAAATCTTTTGCAAAGCAATGGCAGGAAGGACCATCAAACAGACCGGGCATTGGAATCCATGCGAGTTTGGAA